TTTGTCCCTGTAAGAAAAATGTTCTCGAAATCCCCCCCCCCCCCCAACCCCCTTCTCTGGAATTTCCTTCTCTATCGCGACTCCCCTTCCTTGTCCCCTATCCTATCCTCTTCTCTTCCAGAAATTCCTACACTTTTCCGCCAAAAACCTACGGTCCAGCACGGTCGAGGGCGACAGGGTGCAAATATATAGCGCACGTGAGCAGGAAAAACGGAAAAAAATCATCAACAGAAAACATTTTCCTCAAGGTACATCCGACCTCCTGCTCCAGCGACCAAATACCACCCATCTCGCTGTTGATCCTCACCGTACGACGTGCCTCCTGCTTGACCGCCATGTCTATCCTCATCTGTAAGAAAGTTTCAATCTCTGAAAAGATCACTTTTGCGCTCATCAGCCGAACGAACACCTGAGGAAAGTACTATGCTATGAACACGTAAGTCGACATCTAAAACCACGATTTCATCTTTTTTTTCCAGCGTTAGAGTTGTTGAACCTAAACAAGGCTATCATTCAGAAACATGAGCATGTTCGCGGAACAGACCATGACTACTCTTTATCTACAAGTTTTGCAATTTTTATGACGATTCCAATGAAAAATGTGAAATCTTGTGGTTAAAGAAGTAAGACTAAAACAGTCATTACAAGGACTATTGATGAACGTTGGCGAGTAAACTACATTGAATACTGTCACTATGTACTTTCAACCAGGGATCGTAACATCTCACGCAAATGAGAACCTGATCGCAACGTCTTGTCAAAGGAGCGTCGCGGTCGCGCGGCGGTCGCGGCCACCCTCACCAACTCATGATCGCCTGGGAAATCCACTCGCTTTTCATTTATTTGCAAATAGTTCTTTATGTTAATTGAAGTTTGACCTGTTCTATTGCTCACTATAAGTTCCATAATATTCCAACATTCTCATGAAACAGTTTTGAAGTTAGTTCTATGGATTTGTTAGTCGTAAAATACTTAGATGTCCATTGTGTCTAATCTAATCTTTTAATATTTTACTTTCATTTTTAGTTTTTTTTATATATATTTGAAACTCTGCTAGCTGTAATCCTATGGTTTTTCCTCCGCTTTTCTCGACGTTAGTATAAATATTTTTAGGTTGATGGCTATGATGGTAGCATTCAGCAAATTCTTATCTTTCCTTCGGTTATTGTGACTTTGCTGTTATCTCTTCTTTTCTTCAGGGAATGGGCTTTACTTTTTACATCTTTCCACATCATCTATTGACAGACTGTCGTAATATCGTCTATTGATTTTCTATAATTAGTTATACCCGTCTTTGAACGTGTTTATGTCATACGTTGGCTTTGCTTAACTTTTATTAGTTTTTTCGTTCGGATACCTGTTGGCGGGGTGCTCACAATAACTTATTTACTGGTTTTATGTTGTTTTTTTTCTATGGAGTTATTTCGCTTGCGCGAGGACTTATATCGGGGTAGGGTGACGAGATTGTCCGACCCCGTGATGACCTCATTGGTTGTATAGAAAGAAGAAGGATGAACTGGGGTTGTCAGGGGATGGCGGGGGACGGAAGGAGCCGAGTGCAACAACAGCATTTCGTTCCCGAATATTTTTGACGTCCATGGGAACACTTTCCTGTGCATGGAAATTCACATCTTTCCATCCACGCAAAGACATTTTGTTTCGCCGTCAATCATTTTTTTGTTAACTCATTCAAACAG